AGGTTGATATAACAATTTTTTTTATAAAAATCCTAACTCAATAAAGGATCCTTAAGAATAACAGCAGGATAATCAGTGCCATAATAAGAAGCACCCTTATACTAAATTTAAAAATCTGCTCTTCAAAAGGAGAGACACAGAATCTGAATGGGTAGTGATGAAGGGTTTTTCAAAGATTCAAGAAATTTTTCTATTGATTCTTATTAAGAAACAACCTAACACAATTTTTAAAAATTTCTTCATACGAAAGATAACCAAATTGAATGAAAATGCTCTCACATAATTTCTTCGAATGCATTTCATAGCATAGCTATGAGAGATCTTATGAAATATATAAGGAAAATGTAAAATTGAAATTCATTTGAACATGTAGTACATGTTGCACACTTCATATAGAATGTTATATGCTTGTTTTAACTAAGGACTAAGGGAAGTAACTCTTTCTTAACTTTGAGATTGCCGACATTTTTAGAGGTACAGTCATGTACACTATGAATTAACATGTACCTGTGAGAAAATGATTTCTCATACATTATGCATTTTCTATCAATATATTGTGGACATTGGTAAGCTATATATGATATGGTTTATTCCAAATTTGAAGGAATTTTCTATTTATTTCTACAAAATTACATAAAACTAAATTAAGAGTATCCATGTACCTGGTCATGCAGTTTGTCTAGATCAGACTGTCCCATGGCAGGCTCAGCTACCACTTTCTGAAGGTTAAGAAGAATTTTCTTCTGCTGTGCTATCTCTTTAGGCATTTTCTCTGTCACTATGTATTTGTTAGTGTGTGTTTCTTCTTCCAGTCTCTGCAGCATCACTATAATGAAGATAAGCATTCAATAAAAATGAGCATTTAATGAAGATATAAGCATTTAAAGTACCACTTATAAAAGAAAAACTGTTAGTTTGTGAATGCTGAAAAAATTTGTATTAACATGAATACCAATTTATCAACTCAGTTCAAAAAATTTTGGTTATCAGTGAAAAAATGCAACCAAAATGGGTCGGGAGTTGGTTGTACACAATGACAAAAATAAGCACTGACACTCTCTGCCTCTTCACAATTTATTTTAATTTGCAATAGTCAATATGGAATTATATGCTACTGGACCATCTTTTCTACTAGTAAGATGAAATTTACCTGCAGGGTTGGCCCCTATAGCTGCTTGTCTGGTGTCATGTAACTGTGACTGCAGTCTCCTGATTTTCTGATCTTCATGTTGAATCTTTAAAAAGAAGGCATATATACAATGACCATATACTCTGCCTTTACATACATGTTATGTAAAGGCAATGTAATTTTTTGTCTGGCAATGTGACTAGATATCATGTATTTAACAACTTTTCACATTTTCATATCAATATAGGGAAAAAATAATAATGATAAAGATGTTACTTTCTATGCATGGAGACATCACAATCTATATCAATTACTGGAATCCCTTGAATTCATCACTGAATGAAATATTAATCAATGTAAATGACCCCTGGTCAAACTGACCAGTGTGGACTGTTCCTGTCTTTGTTCAGCTAACTTCTTCTCTTTGTCTCGTTCAAGTCTCAAATTCCTGGCCACATTCATCATAGTGGTGGAATTAGGATGAGACTCCACCTATTAAAACAGAAAAATAAATTGTGTTGGATATTTTAATGTAAGGCTTTTAATATTTTAGTATTAAACATTTACAATTAACAGGTCACAGTGTAATAGAGATAAAGATTATTTTCCTTTGGTAATCAAATCTTAAAAAGAACTTCTAATGCACATGCAGTGTAATTGTTTACTACACTTATTATGGACATATACAATACCTTTCTTTTGAGTCTTTCTACTCGTTTAATCAGCTGTTCTTTCTCTTCCTCCATGTTGGAGATGTCCTTTTTGATTTCCCCTGTGTTATATCCCGAGTTCTTCAGACCCTCTGCCTCTTTGTGCAGCTCTTTGAATTGTTCCATAGCTTCCTCATACTTTAAAATAATCAATAATAAAATGTACTTACACTGAACAACATAAGAAAAATATAATGTTCTCTTCACAACATGCAAAATATACTGTCAAATTATTTCTTTCATAATTGCATGCACTGAAAAAACAAAGTAGACTTATTAGTTGACACAAACCTGTGCAAAGAGATCAGGAATGGGATCCTCTGCCATGATCTCCGGGGGACATCTACCTTCACCAAAAACCGGGCCAGGTAAGCTCTCTTCTTGAGATCTGGTATCCGCTTTAACAGCCATTCCAGGATGGGATAAATAACTAACTTGTCTCCCTGCACTAAGCCACTTCTGAATGATTGCCTGCAAGTTATGTTCAGAAGTGTTAAAAGAAGAAAAGCTACAATATTACACCCCTACCAATTTCCTTCTTCATATCATATGACAAATACATGCACTTCTGTTATATCAACAACTTAAAGCTAAATAACTATGTAACATTTAAAAGTGTTTTTTTTTTCATCCAATGATAAATTCATTTGTAATTAACTAAGTACAAGAAATTAACAGTTTCTCATTTTATTTTATGCTTACTTTATGCTCTATGTGTATAAAATTACTTGTAACTGTTTCCTTTACCTTATCAAATCCATATACAAGTAACACAGAGAGACTGAAATTGTATACTTACACATCACTGTAAAAAAAAAAAAAATAGAAAAGACAGACATATTAATAAAACATATCAAAAATTATAAGACATGGATATATGTTTTCATGTAGGTAGATGCATTACATTTTCCAAGGAATATCGATTATACAGAATTTTAAATTATAAAATGCATGTATGTATTCCCTTCATTTGTGTTAAGTCAATGTAAAAATTCATTTTAATTTCGATTTCAATAATAGCAAGGAAAATGACATCAATCTTACTCTGTTGGGGGTTTATATTTAAGGATCCTCAAGGTGTTAAACATTCTGACTGCAGTCTGATCAGCTGATTCCTCCCGGATATCAACTTTTTGCTGTAAGTCAAAACATGATTAAACATTTAAATTCATTAACACTCTTACAAGTATGTGTGTACACGGTTGTCCCTAAGACCCTGGGAATTTCCCCACCTATAATGACATATGAAATCCCTGGATATTCTTGAATCACCCCTCATGCCCCTGTTAGGGAAGGAACCCCATGCCTTTCTACTTTTTTAATATCTTGCTAGTTGTTAGGGACAACCCTGCACAAATTCTAAACGATTTAAAAAAAATTTTAATTCTGGTAAATTAAAGTCATGAAGCATAAATAGTCAACTAAAAGTAAATGATTATTGTACTGTAGAATTAACCTTTGGATCAATAACACCCAAAACATCAGTCAAAACTTGGAGAAGTTGTAAAGGCTCCAAGGAATCAAATGATATCAAGTTATAGGTCTTGCTGAATGGCTCCTTGGCCAATTCCTGGACAATGAACTTCAATTGTTCACTCATCTTTATTTCACTGCTGGATATTCTGAAATAAAATAAAACAATTGCTTTTCACAGAAACTAGATTACTGCATGTAGCTGCTGTACAGTCTAACAAACAGTCATGGCTGTTAATTCTAAGAATTCTAAGAAAATGGCCATTATTATTAAGCTACATTTTTCGTAAAGTGAAACCAAACATTTCATCTAATAAATGACAGGACCAGTCAATGTAATCTCAGCGAAATGTCCTTGGGACTAAAAATTTTGTCTGGAATCCCTTGTCGGAGAGTCAACATCTCAGCCCGGTGTCACACAAACTGATTCAGGTTTTCTTGCCCTGATTTTGTTTGTTTCAATCAACACAAGTTGAAATGAATTAGCTGATTTTGTTTAAAAGGTTTAAATCCAACAAAATATAAAGTTGAATTTTTTTATTTGTTTAAATGCAGCTTCAAATACTTCGTTCTCCTCCTGTTTCCTATAGGAATTTATTTGATGCAGACTATTGCTGGAACTCTTCAGCATTGAAGGTTTAAACAAATTGGATACTGTAAACCAACTATTATTTGCATCATCTTTTATTAGCGATTTGTCAGTTTGAAATCAATCCGCGACAATTAATTTTCATGAATAAGGAAACATTGTCTACAAAAACAAAGCAAAATAAATGATTCATGACGATTAATATTCGCAACCTAACGAAGGTCGCAAAAACTCGTGAATATTTCTCACACACGAATAAAATTTGGTTTACAGTATATATCTATGAAAAATCAACAACTTTATATTTTGTTGGATTTAAATCTTTTAAAGGTAAGAATTAGAAACGAAAGTTTTATAGTGATAGAGACCTAAAAGGAAGTTGAAGTGGGCAGCTAATTCATTTCAGCCGGTATTCATGGAAACAAACTGTCGAAGTCGGGGCAAGAAAAACCGAATCAGTTTGTGTGACATTGGGCTGAGATGTCCTAGGGACACCAGACCAAAATTTTTAGTCCCTACGTCATCTCGCTGAGATTACAGTCTATGCTTAACTAATTAAGTCACCAGACCGTTGGGTTTTACTGGTAAAGTGTGATTACAATAAGTAAAAAAAAAAGATTCTAGAATTGATTTTCTTTTGAAAAAATAATCTGAATTTACAAGTACCATGCAATCCTATTTTTTTACTATTGGTTTACTCTTCAGAATTTTTGTTTTCTAATCAGTCCAGAAACAATGTCTTTATTTACCCATAAAGCTTTATGTAGCCGCTCATATTTACCACTCAACAAATAAAAATAAATTATTGAACTTAAAAAGGGGGGGGGGGTACTATCTTCATCAAATCATCAGACGCCACACGTTACTATGGACAATAAAAATCCTATAAATATGAATTGCTGCAATAAAATTGATGTGAAAATTTAATTGTCATTGTTTAATTAACAAAGTATTTGACTTCTATGAAATTGTACAATTTCTTACCATAGAAAATGTGTGATTGTTGCCACTTTTTGCTGTTTTTTTTCGGTCTTCTGAAAATATGCAGATCCCCGGATGAACACAGAAATTGTAGAAATATCGATCCCGATTTAAATAAAAATTTAAATCGGGTGCGGGATTCAAATCTATTGAAAAACGTGTACTTCCTGCTAGACGAAGATGTCTTCAAAAAAGTCTGCAAAGGTATTTTATGTGTACATTCTTTACAAATACATTTTTTGATTTCATAGGGCATTCATTTCAGGTTCACCGAAAACAGAAAGCAGAACTTCAGTGCTTCAAGTCCCTGTTTCAGAGGACAATCAATGTTATTGTTTAAGATGACATATGGAAGTTATCCATATTTTTTTTAACCATGTTTATAACAGGAAATTCTTGTTACAATATCTAAAACAAAAATATTTTGTCAGGAATAAAATGACTTGCTCTCAATTTTGAATACAAGGTAGAAAAATACTCTTCCTTTTTTCTTGATTTAACAATTTTTGAAAATAAAATTACATGTACATGCTTCAATATTTTGTATTGATCTGGGATTCAGGGATCATGATTTATACTAGTCAAAAATAAGCCATCTCTCTAGAAAAGCCTTCATCACATTTAAAACATGGCTCGAATAGTTGCAATATAGTGAAGAGTAAATCTTTTCCGGTGTAATTTTGAAGAATACCGAGGAGTTGCACTGGAAATAAAAACCATTTTAAATATCACATAGTTGCCAACTCACCCGATTTCGTCGGGTCACACCCGATTTTTCAACCCGTAACCCGATTATTTTTTATGACACGGCGGGTCATGCTTATATTTTTGCCGAACAACCCGAAAATCTCCCGATTTCCGGATTTGGTTCGTAAATTAGGTTGCACTTTTAACTTCCAGTTACAACCCACGCTTAGATCTACGTAAACAATGCCAATGGATTAATTATCTTTGCAGGTGTAAACAATTAACTGGGTGTTGTTTTGACAAATCAATGTCTGAAGTCAATTAAAATGGCTTCCGATAGAACTAGATCGTTATCAGGGCCAACAGGAACAAATTGAACCAAACACATGTCTCTAATTGAACCAAGAAAAAGAGAAACGATATTTAGATACATATCAAGGAATTTTGGGGGAAAAAAATTCATTCTAGATAAAATAAAGTGATCAAAGACAGTGTAGGCCTAACTTCAAATTTAAAACATGTTGCAGTAGTTAATTAATTAAGAGAGAGGTAAAATAACTTCAAAAATGAAATTGGTATACTTTCAAATTTAACAGAAACTGAAAAGGCTTTTTTAAAAAAAATGCACATTCTGACTTCAGGTCAATACTGAAATATGAAACCTTCAATTTTCATTTTTAACATGTAAATTAAAGCAAATTATGTATGAATTTTTTGTCATAGTAAATTAAATCCTTTTTCAATAAAAGAATTCTCAATACACAAATACTTTGTATATATGTATAAAATTTAATCATGGTAAATATGTCGTGAATGTCGTTACGCCTTATGACCAGATTTTTTACTTTCCAAATCTGGTCATGACCAGATTTTTACATGCTGGAGGTTGGCAAGTATGATATCATGACAAACCTTTTCAGGCTTCTATATATAAAACCTTTTTCTTAATAATCATCCATATAAATAAAAAAAACAGCACTTTATAAAATGTTTTTTTCTCACCTCAAATGTGCAGATTTGACATTTCGAACATCCTAGATTGTTTAATATTGTATTTTATGCATAGACTAGAATTATCTGCCCCTACTGATTTTGCTAAATAGCGATAAGCCAACACACGGAATGAATTCTATTGTTATACCATATTTGTAGAAGTAGCAGTTTGATTATAGTTGTTCTATCTAATCATGCTCAATTCATGCTAATTGTGTAAATACAGATGGGCTCTTAATTATTGTCAGCATACAATCTTGAAGTGCATGAAATTTTTACAGGTTGTTCGTTAGATGTTTATCATAGCTGCATCTATATACAGAAAGTGCAAAATTATTATTTTTTAAATGTGAATTTACAATGGCAGTGTGGAAAATACTTTTTATACTAGGAAGATTGTACTTTCTTTTAAGAATGGTGAGGAGATTATTGATGAAAAGGACCAAAAGGTTTGGCAAAGTTCATTTCATGCATGTATTGTTTATTTTATGGTGACAGAAACATTCAAACACATATGTATACATGTAGCCACCAATTCTTTGTTCAGGTCAGACATCGAATCTATAGCTTCAATTATTTTTCAATAAGAAAAATGTGTTTTTATGAATTTTATGGCCTTTAAGCCTTTTGATATGTACATAAGCTCAGGGGAAAGTAGTTTATTTGTGCATGTTTGAATGATTTTCAATGTCCCTGGTATTTGTGCTGCCATTATATACCTGTATACCAAGTGTTTTGGTAGTTGACTTTTTGCTTTGGCATGTTTCCCATGTGCCATGATGAAAAGTGCTTCAGGTACTGCATACAGTTCGTGTTATGGATGTTAAAAATGTACTGCAATGCTGCATAAGTGCCCGTCATTGTTGAAGTTTTTAACCCACAAAACAGATAATTTATTGTCTAATTAAATGTTGAAATTTTACGCATGCTACCTTAAAGTTGGTTATGGGAATTAGAAAACTGTATTGGTGGTTACTGGATAGTTAGCATGGTTAGTTTTGCCAGCGGAATTTAAAGAGATAAAAAAAGACAGAATTTTGGATTACAATGGTGACCACTGGTATTTGAAAAACTGATATACTGTATTTTGGATTGACTTTTGCAGATTGAGTGAACAATATACCTGTTAATGATAGGGCTGTATCAATATATCGATATATCGATACGTATCGATTTTGAAAAATAATTTCCAATTATGACATACAGTTTTTAGTCTAATTCTGTTAAAAAGATGGGAATTTTAATCACCAAAGATTACATTTCACATTTCTAAATTAAAAATGATCAATAATTATATAATCACTGATAATTATTAAGGAAATAACACAATTTTTATAATTGATATAAAATACACAGACTATGTTATTTTAATATGTTGATTTTACAGACATTAAAAGTTTAAATTTGAAGTGTTTTTTGTGATGAAAATGAGTCAAGAACTTTAAAATGGGTAATAAAACACTAAATTAAATTATAAAATTCATCCATTAAATGATTCATAAGCCTTTTTTTATTAACTTTTTTTAGAAACCAATATATCGCATATCGCTTTAAAAAATATCGTATCGTATTGTATCGAAATACTTTGTTCAATACACAGCCCTAGTTAATGATACTATTTTGTTAATTTGACTGTAGTGGAACATTGATGAGAAACCAGTGAAGATTGATAAATGGGACACAGCAGCTGTGAAGAATGCTCTAGATGATGCTGCCAAGAAGGTAACCAAAATTTGAATATTAAGATCTCCATCAGAGTGTTCAAATCTAAGTTCTTGACTGCTTTCATCTCTGTCTGTATCAATATAAACTATTGGGAGGGGGTAGGTCTAGTATAACAATAATCCATAATGAATGTATATTAAATATGTATATACCTACTCCTCATATTGATCTTAATATGCTCACTGATTTTGGAGTGTATACCAAAGTTCCAAAATACTTTTTTGAGTAAAGCATGCTGATTTTTTTTCATTTTCAAGTAAAAGGAACACTAATGAAGGAGATATGACAACATTTTTTTTTCACCATTAATTCAAAACTGTTAGATACTGTAATTTTATTTGGATTTTTCAATTCTGAGACAGTGAGTGCTATATTTGTTTCTGAATGTAACAAATTATAAAATGTTGCATATAGTGCAGTACATTCTGTTCTTTGAATTTTTTACACATCCATTGTCTAATACAACCATTTGTTGACTGATCTAATATGATGTCTTACACAGGTGTTGAAGGAGAAGTTTGGTTACGTGGAGTCACACAAGCTGATGGACCTCCGTCTGTTGATCTGTACCGTCGCCGTGGGTTTCTCTCTGTTCGCCCTCATCTGGGACTATCTCCGGCCATTCCCCGAATCTCGACCCATTCTCATCATGTGTGTTTTATCGTATCCTTTCTGTCACCACAACAGGAGAGAAAAATGTTTATCTGGATATTTTAGCTTGAATCCAAAAAAATACAATCATTAAAAAATAAATGATTAGCATCTTTGTTTTTGAAAATGAGGCATGTACCATATCACAATAAGTATGGCACTGCACATTCACAGGGGAAATTGATATTAATGAAATAAAAGATGTAACAGCTGTACAATGATTATGACATGATCAGGCGAGTTTTCCTTTGAAGTATCTGCCTTCTAGAGTTTGTCAAACTGTATTAATTTGCTCCACAAAAGAGCAGTACCACTGACAGTTAATTTGAAATGGTTTATTATTGCTGCAAATTCAAATTCTTCTACAGTTCAAATGCTTAATTTAGCATCTTATTTCATTCTAATGTTCATAAATGGCAAGGTCTTAGTGTAATAATTTGTGTTTTTTTATACACACACCAGGTACTGCATGTTTTGTTTATATGTTTGAGTTTGCTCCTTTACCCAGTGTCTAGATACTTTGTGTTGATGGGAATACTGACCCTGTACACCACCTATGTGGAGAAAGGGATTTTTCTGGTGGCCCTCCAGAAAGACGAAGCAGGGGTGGATCCAGACAATAAATGGGAGTTGTCCTCACTGTTAAAAAAGTAAGTTATAAAAACCACTCAGTGTGTGTATTGTAAAATGTTGGCGTCTTTATGATAGTGAGGTTTAGTAGACAAAATCTGTGTGCCAATTGATAAATGTGTATTACAAGTAAGGATTATGCTTTCTCTGTTTATCGGTGTATAGTGCATACATTTGCTCGGAAATGTTATGAATGTTACATGAAATTTATAATGTATATCAAGGTCAAGTGTATAAGGTATATAAAGGTCAAGATTTTATGTATTTAATCTCTATAAAATGATTCAGTGATAATCTTTTAGATCTTTGGTGTTTTGCTATAAATCTTTAGGAATTAGAAAAACACACATCTTTACTGAAATTTCAGAATTGTAAAACTTGATATTGTAGAAAGTAGGTACACATTAATGTTAGATTCTCTATGTTATTACTATGCCCCCCTTTGATGAAGGGAGGGCATAATGCTTTGCTGCTGTGTGTTGGTCGGTCTGTTGGTCCATCATCAGTTTCCGCTCATATTTTGCAATGGTTGCACATATTGAAATAAAGTTTGGTATACAGATTTATCATGAGAATATCTAGGTCAACGTCTGTTTTGGGTTTGATCGAGCCATTTTGGACAGAGTTTTGCCCCTTGGACTTTGTAAAATGCCAATAATTTGCAGTTTTAAATTATTTGGGGGAGGGGGGCATAAGTGTTTTACACATCTCTTGTTTACAGTTTTATATAAATTATTATGCTCTATTTATAGATATGATGACATGTACCACCTCACCATGACCTTCACAGACGGAATCACAGGGATCCAAAGGTCAAAGGAATTCTCCAAGTCTGTCGCCAGCTACTTTGATGAAAATGGAACATTATGTTTCGATCTCTTTGAACCAGAAATTAGACTTCTTCATAATCAAATTTCAGCAGAAGGAAAGAAGGACTAATTTAGCAATGAACATCTTATCGACTTTTCATCCTGAACATTTCTATGGCTATAGGCTTTAACATAATTCATAATATATTTTGGACATTATTTTTACAATGTTGTGCAAAAAAACGTCTGATTTATCTGCATATAAGGAGTGGTGCTGAGCATTGACTGGGTAAAAGGGAGATTTCATTGTGTTGTGTCATAGATTTGAATGTTGTATATTTTTTGTCTGAGTGCTCTTTATGTGAATGTTCATTAAATATGGTACATACTAGTCAATGATGACTTTTTTTGGAGGAAGAGGATATTTACAATTGTAAATAAAATTCATTACACCAATCAACATGATCAATGCTTTTGTAAATAAAACTGCAGTTAACTGTAAAACATACTTGTACCTGTATATAACAGTGTGCTAGGGATAGATCATTTTGCTTCACTATAAGAATAATTCATTATATTTGTTAAGTTTAAAATATATTTTTTTGTGATGTTCAATAATAGGAGGAACAACAATTTGAAATCCCTTCTATAATTATATTTTCATCAAGGTTAAAAGTGCTTTTGCTATATTAGCATCAGTTACTATATTATAAGTTTTTATCCCAGCAGTTCATTAAGACATTGAATGTCCAATGAAATCATATTGTGATGTTAAATAATAGAATCTTTATTACATATTGCCATTGTGCACCTCCTATTTTACTTTTTATAACATATATTTTCATAGCAAAACATGGACACTGCCATTTAAACAGGGCAATTTTTAATCTTATTTTCAATTTAGGATGGGTACTTAAACAAGATTTGTATTTGAGTTATCTTTCTTTGTGTTCTAGTATGACCAGCAGCCACAGAGCGAAAAAATGTCAGTCTTGGAAATTAAGAAAATAAGGGGGAGCGGCGCAATATCCCTAAATATTAAAAAAAAAATTCTTGGGGAAAGATACCAGTAAACACTTTCCAAAGTCAATTATTGTGATGATTGACAACCCCCCCCCCCCCCCCCCACCCTGACCCGATCCGCGCATGAGTATGCCCTGACTATAGGAGGCTTATAAGTAGGCTGTCTTGTTCAATTTGGTGTGCATTTTATTGTATATAATGAAGAAAATGTAGATTGTTTTGTAATTTACACACTTCATGAGAATTACAGCAATTGCAACCGCATGTTATGATCCATCCAAATATAAGCAATCTGAAAATATTACTGAAAATGCACATTTTTCTACTAAAATTCATTCATTTCTTGGTGACACAGGGTATAGAAATTTTTAAAAAATTCTTATGAGTTCTACTTTTATTGTGTTATACTTTTAGAAGAATTTTGAATTTTCATGTTTTGAATATACATTCACATGTTATCAATTTTTCCTCTTATAAATATTTTTTTTCTGTGAACAAATTATTTTTGCGTCTTTGGCAAGCTTACTGTGTGTATTTTAATGTCCCAAACTGCGTGTGTGGTGTAGATACATGTATATACCCAAATTGTAAATCACAAGCCGATTTCCTACACTTTCATGTTCAATTAAAAAAAATATATATTAAATTAATGAGGTATGTCAGTGGCGTATAGTCCTTTCTGCTAATGAGTAGGCTAGGGTGAACTCACAGATTTAACTGAGGTGCAAAGTGTGTGTAGACAAGGAGCTTCCTCTCAAAAGGTATTGGGGGGTGTCAAAGGGAGCATATTTGCAGACTCAGACATCTACAGTTTTAATTTAACCAGTGAAAACAATAGCAGAGACGTATTTACAGTTCAGTTATATCGTGATGTGAAGACCACTTAACAAAACTGAGAACTATTAACCTATCCTTTAACTCTGCTTACATGTAGAAAATATGGAAACTTCCTGAAACTGAATAATTAAAATTCGATCAATACGTTGAATTTCCTACTAACCAAATATAAGTCGTTATCAATTTCGTTTCCTGCACTTATTATAAACTTCTGTTGCTTTCGATGAAATTTCTGAAACAGACTTAATATGAATAACACTTGAACTTTTGCTCAATTTTTTTTTCAGCTAAGGGAATACTAGCAGTTTTCACCTTCAATAAAAAGGAAAACTGTAAACATAATCGGATATATGTATAAAAGTACAGATTGCAAAGAATGTTTTTTTTTTTTTTTTTTTTTTTTTTGCATTTGCATTTGCAACAAAATAAATTAATAAGTACAATTTATTATCAACTTCCCGCCCCTTTATCTAACCAAATTTTTTATTCCTAAAATAGAAAATGATGTGTAGGCTAAAGCCTAATTTGTCTATATGGAATGTACGCCACTGCATGTCTTTATAACAAATATAGTAGAAGATATTCATATTGCAGTGTATAAAATTTTCCGGAAAAAAATGTGAAAGGAAAGATTAAAAAATATCCACCTGTTTTAATTTGTCATTTTAAATAAAAGCTAGAAGTTATTGGAGTGCAAATGTACTAAAATCAATTACAGAGACTTTATTTTCTAAGTAATCTCTCCAAATGATATGAAATTTACGTTAATAAGGTCCCACTCAACCGATACTGATGTGAAACAGATTTCAAAGTTGATCCAATAACTTCCTATAATCGCGATAATGTAATTCATTTCTCTGGCAAAGCGCACCCCTCATTATTTGTTTACGTTCGGGGGGTGCATTCACGTTCGTCGTAAATAAAATTGTACGCGAACATCTTTACCTATTTCAGTGGCTGCGCTTGTAGAGGAATGGCCACTGTTCGTTATATTTTATTTGTCTTATTGGAAAGTGTTTTCCTTGCCCAGTAAGTATATGTTTAGATTTCTAGTATATTAAGTTATGATAATTATATCCATTTGACACTTTTTGAAAAAAAAGTTTTTTAATCTCGACTGAAATTCGTACGAGGAAGAAATACTACACCTGTAACACGTAGTATATATGATTTAAGCAGTGCCCAGTCATTTCTCTTATATGGCTTTTTCTTTATTTTCTTAGGGACATACAAGCACTTTTTGAAAAAAAATATGATATAATGATAATTAAAAGAATAAAAATTCAATAAATATATTATAACTAAGTTATTCGGCGGGTATATAATTGAAACAGAGTTTGAGAAACAAACAAAAAATTAAGCCAAACTAACGTTCTTTAAAAATTATTGCTTTAGTACCGAGTTCACAGAAGCTATATATCAGTACTTTAAAATGTAAAATGGCATTTTTTCACTTGTTCGGTAATATAAATCCGAATCCGAAAGATTATATTATTACAAGAAATATTGTCTAGGTAAGAAGTTAAATATTTCACCAGGTAAATTCATGTCGCTCTTTAATACCGAATTACTACTACTGAACTGTCCATAGTCCTGCAAAACGCCCAATTCTCTCTGAATAAGCCTGGGACTGTCCAGTGTTAATACATGTACTTCGTTCCAGGATGAACGGCTGGAACCACCCCTAGACCGATTAAAAGCTTTCCAAAGTACGCGGATTACCTTAATGTTTTGATCTGACTTCTCAGACGAACACAGAGCGTAATTAAGTTCAGTTGAGGAGTTTCTTCGGTGGAAAAATTAACCTGATGTTTAGCAGACCTACATAGAATGCAAGTTATCGCAGCACGAATCAGGTGTTTTTGTAGGTTTTACGTTAGGATACATGTGTGAACTATTCCAATTATCCGTGACCCAATGCTTTTAAATCGTTTCTTTCGGGTTGCTTTTGGCAAGTCCTCAAATTGGAGAAATTCAAAGCAGGTTTAGAACGATTAGTTAGTCGTGTTTTAAGGAATGTATCGTTTTTTAATAGTTCTTGTGCCATAATTTGAAAAACATTTATGAAAAACAAAACCCTGTTTTAACTTAGTTTATGAAATGATAATTAACAATGTATAGAAATATGGGCAAATTCCAAAGCAATGTAGAAGAACAGGGGCATTGGAATTGGATTCGTTATGGAACACAACTGGAATATTTTAATTCTTTTCACGTTAGCTAGGTCACCAGTGCAGTGAAGAAAGCGAAATCAATCCAGCTAGTACGAAGAGGGAGTAGACGGGAAAATTAATTTCTGTAATTAAAATTAAATGACTATTTTCGTAGCACTTATTGTAAAGCAAAACAAGAATCACTCGACTTTCTAAATATACGTTATTCTAGCAAATTATATCTTCTTTTTTCCCCATGCATGAAATTTCGCTAATAATTAAAAATTAAATCTCAGTTATTACCCATGACAAAAAAAAAAAATGAAACATATCTATAAAAACCTACACGTTTAAGATTCAATCGGGAAAAAAACTGTGTGAAAATATTTAGTGAAATTCAAAAAACAATGAGCTCTGAATCTTAATAATTTTTCTTTCAATTTTATCTAATAAATAAATAATATTAAAGGTTCCAAGACGGTATCTTCCTCTTTCCTTTAAAAAAAAGCAAGAGAACTAACGTTACAGAGTATAAATTTACAAATATTGTAAAGCAAGCACGAAAAAGTAAATCTTTCTATGAATTTTACAGAAAAAATGAAAACGTTATATATTTTTTAAATAGTTTGCGGGCACAGACACTTAATATCTTGGCGTATGAATACAGCAGGAAATTTTGGGAGATCCCAGATCTCGGATTAGAAATGGGACAATGTGCTCATTACGTACAAGAAGTGATGCCAGGATTCCCACTCGTCCACAGATGGTAAGTTACTTTATCATATCAGTTTACTTTTTCCTTACTATAGTACACATAATTTATGCATGGAAACCAATCTTTTTTTAAGGAGGCTACCTGGGGGGAGGGGAGGGGTTAACAAATCAACCATCAGATACAATTTATCCTTTAGATATGATATTTTAAGCTGTCAACTATCATTTGGCAAAGAAAAATTTCATACATTTTAGTTTTAGAATTTGATAATTTTTGTATATCTTAATAAGTTTATATGGAGTTGCATTCTTCTAAAGAAGATAAATATGGTCTAAAAATGGCCACAGCTACCCAGCCCTCTTAAATCACTTGGGTCACTCAAGTGGTGTATTTCTTTCTGTATAATCTTTTTTTTTTGGGGGGGGGCATAATTTCCTCCTTTAAAATGGCTTTAATCAAATTAACTCAAGTGTGGCAAGGTTTTTTAAAAAAGGGTCGAACCGCAAGATTTTTGACCACAACGAACAAATATTTAATTTCTTGTTTGGCTAATGAAAAGAAATTTTGTGACGCCATTAATCAAAACGCCGATTTACAATGTAGAACAATCAAACGCGCTTTATGATACTGCTTGTATTGTAGCAGTACTTGTCTAGTGAGATATACTCACACTAAAAACAAACTTTACAACTGACTTTACCGTTGGTCACTTTGGCGTCATCATTTAAGCGTTAAGAATTAGAGTCCCTGAAGTCTTATATAGTTTACAAACTTGCCGCCTGATAACATTGACTGAACATTTGCATAATATAAAGCAGAGAGCAAAGATAGTTTTATCTACGTTGTTCAAAGGGTCATAATTTGAGTTATCGAACTTGTAACAAACTGACATTATGCAAATTTCACAACTTACAATCAGTCGTAACAGAAAAATGTACATAAAGGCTGCCTTGAGAGGGTGGATGGTGGGGGAATATTTGCAATACATTGACAAGAAAAAATGTGCTTGTCTAAATTAAGGTATCAAGACACGATACTGCACTCTGCTGCAATACAATGCAACACATTGTAATGCCTACATGTAAATGCAAATTGACCGATGTTTTCATTTAAAGAACAGACTTGCTGGGATTTTTTAAATTCACATTATCTTTCATATTTATTCAATTTGATAGGAATCAAAATTAACTTTCTGTAATTATGTCGAAAGACTTTTGGACAAAGTTACGTGCAAATATTTAAAGAAAAATAAATATTTGCTCTCTTTTATATGCATCAAAATTAACAATCAAAAATTATGTCGAAAGCCTTTTTCGATAAAGTTACACATTCCTTTTTTTTTTTTTTTTTTTTTTTACCGAACAACTAGTTAAGTATGTGAAAACGTCTAGAAAAAGTGGATACTCCTCTTTGATTGATGTGTAAATTTCTTAATTTACCTGAGAATTACTACAACATATCTTAATAGAAATTGAACGTTATTGCACTGGACAAGAATTCTATGTCAGCCAAAATAATTATGTCCAATTTTGTTTTATGTGATTTATTGAAATAAGGTTGAAACTGACCATTTTGTCTGATTACATACATAAAATAATATACTCACCTTTTTAATTTAATTTTTTTTTTTAAAATGCCATATCTTGATAATAAATGCCACATTTTTTTTTAAATTGCTTATCTGCTTGAAGATTTTGAAATTTTAACTTTTTTTTTTAAAAACATTTTTAATTAATTATTTTTGTATTAATTGATCCTAGGATATTTTTGAATGTATAATTGAGACATAATTTTAAAAAAGAATAAAAATTAATTAAATTAACCCTTAAAAAACAATTTCAGACTTCTGCAGCCTCCCCGAGAGCGAGAAAAATAGGGACAGTAATTATCAGTAAATGTCAGGACGTGTCTAAGTTTTTCATCATGGACAGTAAACGGGTCAGTAATTGTCTAAGTTTATCAACACCGACTAAGATTGTCAGCACTTTTTTAAGTTTATCAAAACCGACAGAAAAAAGGTCAGTAATTGTCTAAGTTTTGCAGTCAAGACAGCATATTCTCAGTAATTGTCTAAGTTTGTCAGTATAAATTGGGAATACAAGTACGATTCTGACTTAGTAGTGAACATTTTGCAAAGAAAATCAACAAGGAAACTGATCTCAGCTGCCCCCTTCTTACCCCCCTCCCGTCCCCCCCCCCCCCCCCCCCCCGCCCCCAACTGAATTCATTGAATGGTAAGAATTGTCTGAATGCTAAGTTTTCTCCTCTGATATTTTTTTTTTATATTTTCCAGCATTTTACCACCAGTCTCGGGCCAGTCAACGTTACACCATTTCAAGTTTCAAAATGATACCCAGAATATTCAAGTTCAGTCAGCCAACGACATATTTGCTTACATTGGACTATGTGACGCCACTGCTGTTACATCACTTGGCCTGCTGCACAGGGGGGATTGCATAGCAGTAAGTATATCAACTAAACTCACTAATTTCAACGACTTTGAAATATATTTAGAACATTTTGACAGTTAACAGTTTTGAGACTCAAAAAAGTTATAAACACCAACTTTCATTTTAAAAAGTCGTTGCTTCTTTTTTTAATTTCTGGTATATGAACCATCAAATTGGAGTGGATGAATACAGGTATTACAAATTTTACGGCATACATTTTAAGAGAGAAAATACTTATGGTACTTCACTACAAGTCACAGTTGAACTTGAATATCTCAAATATTATTCTTATGACGGAGAGCTAGCAAACTGGGAGCCCCTATTTTATTTTTTATTTCCCCTTATAATTAAATTTCAAGAAATCCTCTGATAATCTTCTGTCACTCCCTGGCATTTTCATGTCTCTCCGTGACTTTCCCCCATGAATACCTACCGTTGTCCCTGCATGACTACTCTGTCTATCCCTGACATCCCCGATGTCCCCTGACTTTACCCCTGGTATCACTGTCTAATCTCTGATGTTCCATGACATTTTCTGACGTCCCTGTCAAGTCTCCGATATTCATTTATTCATGAGAATAAAGGTTAATTCACGAATTAGCTAATTTTTATTGTTTGTAGAAAGATATATATATAGTATATATATTAACCTGTATCCAAATGTTCCTGTCCAGCATTTATGCTAAAAGTTTGCAGGGAATTGAATTTATTAATAAGAAAAAAATAATTATTACATGGTATAGGATTTCATCCGTAATCAAAATGGAAATCAAAACTCTACACATGGAAGGAAATGTTTCTGGTATAAGATTTTAGCTTTTATTATCTGAACGAAATGAAAATTCGTATAAACACATCTAACATTGTTCACATCACGAATTAAAAGAATTTACACTTAATGATCAAAAATTGGCCTGATTATTTAATAAGAGAGAGAAAGAGAGAGAGAGAGAGAGAGAATATTTCATGGCATAAAATGGTACAACGGGTAACATTAAAACTTATGGGGGAGTCGTTTTCAACGTATGGGGAATTAGATCACCGCTTCGGAGTCAGAGGAGATGTGGGTCAGTCTTTTTGGGTAAATTAGGTTTGACAAATATCCCACGGAAGATGGCTATATATAGCTTTATCTTGTCATTTGTTGTTCTGTCATATACATACATGTATAAAAAAAAAAAACCAAATGAATATATGGATAAATTCATAAAAATTTTCATTTGAACAACCTCCCTTTTTACAGTTAAAACATTAAGAGAAAATTTTTTTTAAAAGATTGAAATAGCCAGACTTTACAAAAATTAATAATTGAGACATTTTCTCCTCGGTTACATTGAATACTATCGGAAAAATCACGGGAGTCGCAAAATAAAGTCAAATGCATACTTTGTGTTGTTTTCATCTCTTTTATACTGCCAATACCTATTTATTTACTCTTAGATATCTATAAATCTATGTTTGGTAACTTACTTTATAATCTGAAGTTATGAAAAGATATTTTTCTGTGGCTTTATCAGTTCTAGAAAAAAATCAGCAATATAGATTACATGAACAATTGGATTATATATCATCAGAGCACATGTGCTTGAAGGACTGTAATTTTTTCATGTTTTTCACAAAAATTCAAACAGTCAGGAACCATCCAACATCAAAGTAATTCTGACTATCCTTCTTGTAAAAATTTTTAATATCAAACAATTTTTTTGCAGAATACTTAAATCATAGTAACTGTTATTTGCTAATGTGTTGATAAAACTTGGTTGTCAAACTGTCCGTCGTTTCAACAACCCGTGTGTCATGTGTTAACATTTGAACATTTTCAGCTTCTTAATTTAAAAATTGATTTACCAATTTCAACCAAATTTGGTATACAGCATCTATGATGTTGGACCGGGAACAAAAATTTTGAATTTCATGGTCCCCGCCCGTTTATGTCAAAGTGGGGTGGGGCCAAAACCACTAAAATTAATGAAATCTTTAAAAATTTCTTCTTTACTCCTGGACATCAAGCAGGCAAACTATTGGCATGAATGTAATGAGCATTGAGTCCTCTACCAAAATTGTGAAATTCATGGCCCCAGGGTCAGGGGTTTTAGTACAACAACGGGGCAATATAACAGATTATATAGTGAAAATGCAATATTTCTTTGAAAATCTTCTTCTCTGCTCCTGGGTATTAAATACACTAACTAAGCAAATTTTATGATAATATTAACCATTTTTTTTATTTTCAAAAAAATTTGTGAATTTCATGGCCCCTTCAGGGGTTCTGGTGTTAGGGGGGATAAATTTAGATTATATAGTGAAAATGCATTATATTTTTCTTTGATTAATCTTCTTCTTGCTCCTGGGTATTAGATACACTAACTAAGCACATAGCTATGATTGAGAATATTTTGGCCTCTTTCAGATTTGTGAATTTTATGGCCCCAGGGAAGGGGTTCTGGTGTTAGGAAATGGGGCTCTATAGAATTATATAATGAAAATGCATTAATTTCTTAGAAAATCGAAAATTTTCTCTGCTCCTGGGTATTAAATACACTAACTAAGCTACATAGTTATGATGAGCAAGAGTGCCTCTTCCAGATTTGTGAATTTTATGGCCCCAGGGCGAGGGGTTCTGGTGTTAGGGCGTGGCTCTATAGATTATATAGTGAAAATGCATTTATTCTTTGAAAATCTTCTTTTCTGCTTCTGGGTATTAGATAAACTAACTAAGTACATAGCTATGATGACAAAACACATCTTTCAGCTAGATTTGTGAATTTTTGCCCCATACATTTTTCTGTGTTAATGATATTATCATTATCAAATTATATAGTGAAAATGCATTAAAAATTTCTTCCGTAAATCTTCTTCTCTGCCCACACTGACATGGGCAATACTCGAAATGTACACTAACTAAGCACATTTACTATTTGACTTAAGAAAACAGCTGAAAGGTTATTCTTTTTAGTATGAATTTAAATAACAATTTTTAAATTACATACAGCTCAAATAAAAGATTTTTACAGGCAAAAGAAAAAAAAAAATGGGATGTGAAAGGAGGTAACAACAGTTTGACAACCAAATTATATAGTAAAAATGCAAATTATTTCTATGAAAATCTTCTTCTCTGCTCAATAATAATAAAAAAATTTTTGATATTATTAAGCACATTATATCGGGATGATCTTTTATTAGAGTGCCTCTTTCGGAAGATTTGTGAATTTTATGAATTTTTGGATATATATGGAAAATTACATATTGGTGTTAGGGTCCCCAAGCACATGTGCTCTGATGATATATATATTGTTCATGTAATCTAATGCTGATTTTTTTTCTGATAGAAAAATATCTTCTCTAACTCCTGGGTATTAAATACACTAACTAAGCACATAGTTAAATGATGCAGTATAAAAGAGATGAAAACAACACAAAATTGTGAATTTTATGGCCCCAGGGTGATGTGCTTTGGTGTTAAACGGGACTCCCCCCTACGTAACCGTTTATATAGTAAAAATGCATTATTTTTTTGAAAATCTTCAAGTTTAAGTTGGTATTAAAAGATAAACTTAAGCACATAGCTATTTTAAGCAAGAGTGCCTCTTCCAAAATTGTGAATTTTATGTTTTTCCAGGGTCAGGTAAATATGAAACTGGTGTTAAGTGTTTGAGAAAACTATTGTATATATATAGTAAAAATACATTTATTGCCATTTGTAAATATTTTTCTTTGCTTTTTATATTTAGCCAATGAAAGTATATATATATTTATGATGAAGATTCATTTGGTGCATACGTTGAAAAGTGGTTATTAATGCCCCCGTTAGTTGTATACGGGGGGTCACGTGGTTACATACCTGAAAATAAATTAATGCTTTGAAATCTGCTCTTTGTTATATTAATCAACCATTTTACATAAATAAAATTTGCAAAATTTTGAATATAATATATGGCCCTGGAACAGTGGTTCCTTTGTTATTTGGGTTAATTTCAATTTTTTTTAAAAGTGGAAGTGCATTTTCTCTTTGTTACTCTGAATCTACCTCTGGGTATTAAGTAAATAAGTAAGCATGCTAAGTTAATAATTATGATATGCAAGGCACCATGGAAGTTGTGCAAAATTGTAAATTGTGAATTTCATGAAAGCCTCTGGTTTAGGAACACGAACCAAATTTAATTGTTTGAAAGTTGTTACACAAACTCAGGTCCAACATCAAAGTGACTATCCTTCTTGTAGATAATTTTTCGTTAATTAGTTAAGTATAGATGAATCACACCAGAGAACGTAAATATTTTTTTTAGATTATGCCCTTTAATTTCTTTTCTTCATGCCTGATATTTCTTAGGTTTGAAATAAATATTCCAGGTTGTCTGTATTGCGGCTTTTTATTTTGTATGTTGTTTTCTTGTTTGCACGTACATTTTATTCTCTGACGTCATTTACTATTTGTACATGTATATTGTATCAATTAAATCCATACAGTTCATATATATTTGTAGCATAAGCTCAGTTTTTCTCTTTTCATATGCTAAAATAATTTCGAGAGTCTCTATGGTCAACAATTAACGAAGCAGAACGTTTTTGTTCATTCAAACCAGAATTGGTTATCTGTGCAAAAATGAACATAAATGTTAATATGTTCTCTTAAACATTTTACATGTTTTAGGTATTAATCTGTTGATTAGGTACGTTGATATTACAACTTAATTTTGTATCTCTATATACATTCTTTAAACGAAAGGTGATTCGAATGTCCACTGCAAGACGGCTCATGGAAGTGAAGAAATACAGGACTGGTAAAATGGCGGAGATTAAGGGATTGCTGGGGCGTTACGAGGGGGAGATAAAGGACATAAGGAGAGAGATAGAGCAAAACTATATACAGCCCCACCTAGACTACGCCTTCCAGCCCTATTTCTCCAGACCCCAGGGTAAGTATACAGAACTACATACAGCCCCACCTAGACTACGCCTTCCAGCCTTACTTCACCAGATCCCAGGGTAAGTATACAGAACTACATACAGCCCCACCTAGACTACGCCTTCCAGCCTTACTTCACCAGATCCCAGGGTAAGTATACAGAACTACATACAGCCCAGGCCACCTAGACTACGCCTTCCAGCCCTATTTCACCAGGCCCCACGGTAAATACAGAATTACATACAACTCCACGAAGATCTAGACTATGCCTTCCAGCCCTATTTCACCAGGTCGCAGGGTGATTAATAATATGTTGGAGGAAAAAGAGAGTGTAGTGACAATCTAGGGAAACTATCCACGACAAGAGACAAGGGTTGATTGATTTTGTGTTGTTTACTAAACGAGGGAGAGAGAGAGAAAGAAAGAAAGAGAAAGCTTGACCTGTTTTGAGTCTTTTATGTTTTAGTTTTGAGTCTTTTATGCAGTGAAATTTATTGACATGTTGAGAAAAAAATTACCATTAGTTTTATCTATTTTATTCACTATAGGACTTCAGTTTCGCAGTGGCACAGACAGAGCATTATGGGAGAAGGCATCAATTACAGAGGTCAAAATTATCAAAGCCCAGGCTCGCCAGAGGTCCATATTGCGAAGAGTAAGTAAGAATGTGGTGTGTCGTTGGAGACAGGATGGAATGAGCTGTAGATAGGGTGAATGTTGTATTCAGGATAGGATGTGGTCAGATGCAAGGTTAAATGTTGCTGTAGGCAGAATGAAATGTGGTAGGTAGGGTGGAATGTGACTGCAGACATGATGAAATGTGGTGGTAGGTAGGATGAAATGTGGCTGTAGGCAGAGTGAAATGTGGCTGTAGACAGAGTGAAATGTGGCTGTAGACAGAGTGAAATGTGGCTGTAGACAGAGTGAAATGTGACTGTAGACAGGATGAAATGTGGTGGTAGGCAGGGTGGAATGTGACTGTAGACAGAGTGAAATGTGGTGGTAGACAGGATGAAATGTGGTAGGCAGGGTGGAATGTGACTGCAGACATGATGAAATGTGGTGGTAGGTAGGAATAAATGTGAATGTAGGCATGGTGAAATGTGGCTGTAGGCAGGGTGAAATGTGGCTGTAGACAGAGTGAAATGTGGTGTAGACAGGATGAAATGTGGCTGTAGACAGAATGAAATGTGGTGGAAGGTAGGGTGGAATGTGGTGGTAGGCAGGATGGAATGTGACTGTAAACATGATGAAATGTGGTAGGTAGGAATAAATGTGGCTGTAGACAGGGTGAAATGTGGCTGTAGACAGGATGAAATGTGACGGTAGAAAGGATTAAATGTGGTGGTAGCCAGAGTGGAATGTGACTGTAGACAGAGTGAAATGTGGTGGTAGACAGAGTGGTATGTGACTATAGAAAGGATGAAATGTGGTGGAAGGTAGGGTGGAATGTGACTGTAAACAGGATGAAATGTGGTGGTAGGTAGGAATAAATGTGGCTGTAGACAGGATGAAATATGGTGGTAGAAGGGATGAAATGTGGTGGTAGGCAGAGTGGAATGTGACTGTAGACAGGATGAAATGTGGTGGTAGGCAGAGTGGTGTGTGACTATAGATAGGATGAAATGTGGGAGGTAGGGTGGATTGTGGTGGAAGGCAGGGTGGAATGTGCCTGTAAACTGGATGAAATGTGGTGGTAGGTAGAATGAAATGTGACTGTAGACAGAGTGAAATGTGGTGGTAGGCAGGGTGGAATGTTGCTGTAGGCAGTGTGAAATGTAGCTATAGGCATGCAGGGTGAATGTGGTGCTATCCAAAATAGGATATGGTCGTAAGCAAGGGGAAATATGATGGAAAGAATCAGGTTGTAGACACGATGGGTTGTGGTCGTATGAAATGGGGATTTATATTATTGTAAGGGCACAGTGCCATATATGTGAGGCATGCAGGTTGCAGTTTGACTGTAAGAAGAGTTGGTATTGTTCAAAGGTAACAAAAGTTGCATGGTTAATACTTGCTTACATACCACATATGGTCACTGACCATTGATAAAATTCTTTAACTGTGTTTTAAACGCTCTCCATTTACCAAGACTCCACAAGACTTTAGGATCAACTCCTTAATGTAGCTTTAAGTTGAAATAACTTTTTTATACCCCACGCAACAAGTTGCGTGAGGTATGTTTTTGACCGTCAGTCCGTCAGTCCTTTTTTGTCAGCGCAACTCGTAAACCGCTACACAGAACTTCGTCAAACTTTGGTGCAGATATTTAGGACACAATGTGTAGATGTGCATATTACCAGGGAATTCCGATTCCTTTATTTTTTCCGGGAATTTCCGCACTTTTCAACTTAGATTTTGGCCATATCTTGAATATAGAGATGAATAGTTTGTCAGCGCAACTCCTCAGCTGACAACTCAAACTTTATATTTAGGACACAATGTGTAGTGTTAAGGAAATTCTTTTCATTTTTTCTGGGAATTTCCGAACATTTCAGCTTAAATTTTTGACTATATCTTGAATATAGATATGAACAGTTTGTCAGCGCGACTCCTCATAAACCGCTGCACAGAATTTCGTCAAAATTTGCAGATATTTAGGACACAATGTGTAGACATGCACATTACCAGGAAATTCCGATTCCTTCATATTTGCCGGGAATTCCTGCAATTTTTAACTTAGATTTTTTGCCATATCTTGAATATAATGATGAATAGTTTGTCAGCGCAACTCCTTATAAACCGCTGCACAGAATTTGGGCAAACTTTGCAGATATTTAGGACACAATGTGTAGAAGTGCATATTACCAAGAAATTCCAATTCCTTTATTTTTTTCCGGGAATTTCAGCACTTCGACTTTTGGGGGAGCGTGGGGTTTGTGAGCTTACTCACTTTTTCTTTCATTTTGTTTAAAAGAAAACATATAGTATTGGTTATAGCTACCTGTAAGACTAAGTTACTCAGTAATCAAATTATATGATGAACTTTTCAACGACAAGTATAACATGACTTTTATTCTCTTCAGTGTAAGCGGATCATGTTGCCCAGTTGTGCCACAATGAAAACTCTTAAGTTAAACATCAAACTACTTAAAGGAGCGTTCGATACAGAGAGACAAAAATGGGTCAATCTAAGTGTGAAACAAAAACAACAAACAGTGGAAACAACTAGAAAGAAGATCAACAACTTGGCACAGCAACAGTCGAAAATGATTTCTCAGTTTAAGCAATGGCGAAGGCAACAGAAAGCCGCGAAGAGAGCCGAGAAATTAAAACAGAAGAAACTCCGCCAGAAACAGAGATCACAAAGAAAGAAATCCAAGAAAATTAAAATGAACAGAGGCAAAATAGTGTTGTTAACCAATAACACTATCCTACAGAATGTTGTGTAGCTTTAGTACTATACCGGTATTTTAATTGTTATTGTTAAAACTTTCTTTAAATTGTTATGCTTTCTTTATTGCATGGAGAGTTGGAGATTTGTTATCTTCTAACATAAGATGGTAATGACAATACAATTTAAAACAATATGAATGGTTCTTATTCAAACGTATACATTTACCAATAATGACTGAGATACTATATAGTTACTCAATGGCTGTTTTCTAAACTTCAACAACAGTCCTAATGGTTTGATATTTTTAAAAATGTCTACTTCTGAAGTAAGCCTTGATTGCTCGTTAATTATTTCCCAAAACTAAATAAAAACATGAAAACTTTTACGTAAACTGTTTTAAGACTGCAGGACTTTCATCCTCTCAATGCCGTGAGACCTGGCATTGCGAGGATGTAGGACTCTGGTCTAGCCGTTTGCCTGTTTGTCTGTATGAACAATTTTTCACATACAGTTAAAACTAATTATTTTTCTGGTTTTTGATGTCAATGAATGTTTAAAATAGAATATTTTGCAATTCTTATTTAAGTTATGTCAGAAGACGAAGTTCATGTATTACATTTGGTAAACTGACAGCCTGACAACACCAACTATTTTATTGTATTTTGATATTTGAATGATTTTTAATTCCAGTAAATTATTGAAGTATTACAAACAGAAATTTTGAAAAAAAATCTTTCTACCAACACAATTTGGAAATGTTTTAAAATTTTCAAAATTCATAACAAGTGACTATTGTCTCCCAATAGAGATGGGCAGATGGCTAATGTTGAAAGAAATGAAAGCTTGTGTTATTTGTGCAGTAAAAATTAAATTGGAGATCAATTTCAGAACTTAATGGAATGGAATGAATTAGGTAATAATTGGAAAATAATTGTTGTAAAAGTATTATTGTATGATCTAATTGTTAGAATATTCTGAACTTTGATGACAAATTCTGATCTTGCATTCTTAAACAAGAGGCCCATGGGCCACATCGCTCACCTGAGTAGAAATTGTTTTATTATTGAAAAGTTTAAATCCAAAAGTAGTCCCATGACCAATCATGGCTTTGCTATTCTTGAGGAGAAGATTTTTAAAGAATTTTCCTATATATTTCTATGATCAATTATGGCTTTGTTATTCTTGAGAAGAAGATTTTTAAAGAATTTTCCTATATATTTCTATGTAAAATTTTGGTCGGCCATTGTGGCCCCACCCCCCGGGGGTCATGATTTGAACAAACTTGAATCTACACTACCTGAGGATGCTTCCATATAAGTTTCATCCTTCCTGGCACAGAGGTTCTTGAATTTAAAGAAGATTTTTAATATATTTTCATATGTATTTCTATGTAAAACTTTGGTCGGCCATTTTGGCCCCACCCTACCCCCGGGGGTCATGATTTGAGCAAACTTGAATTTACACTGCCTGAGGATGCTTCCATATAATTTAAATTTTCCTGGCACAGTGGTTCTTGAGAAGAAGATTTTCAAAGAATTTTCCTATATATTTCTATATAAAACTTTGGTCAGCCATTGTGGCCCCGCCATACCCCGGGGGTCATGATTTGAACAAACTTGAATCTACACTACCTGATGATGCTTCCATATAAGTTTCATCTTTCCTGGCACAGTGGTTCTTGAGAAGAAGGTTTTTAAAGAATTTTCCTATATATTTCTATGTAAAACTTTGGTCAGCCATTGTGGCCCCGTCCTAAAAATGGGGGTCATGATTTGAACAAACTTGAATATGTCGAAAAAATAGTTGGTTGACCTAATGAGGATGCTTCCATATAAATATGATCAATTATGGCTTTGTTTTTCTTGAGAACAAGATTTTTAATAGAATTTTTCCTATATATTTCTATGTAAAACTTTGGTCGGCCATTGTGGCCATACGCCCTACCCCCGGGTCAATAACGAACAAACTTGAATCTACACTAATTTAGTATGCTTCCATATAAGTTTCATCTTTCCTGGCACAGTGGTTCTTGAGAAGAAGGTTTTTAAAGAATTTTCCTATATATTTCTATGTAAAACTTTGGTCAGCCATTGTGGCCCCGCCCTACCCCTGGGGGTCATGATTTGAACAAATTTGAATCTACACTACCTGATGATGCTTCCAAATAAGTTTCATCTTTCCTGGCACTGTGGTTCTTGAGAAGAAGATTTTTAAAACATGCCACCAAATTTTTATTAATTCCCAATTATCTCCCCTTGAATGAGGGCATGGCCTGGATTTCATTTGAACAAAATTGAATCCCCTTCACCCAAGGATGCTTTGTGGCAAGTTTGGTTGAAATTGGCCCAGCGGTTCTTGAGAAGAAGTCGAAAATGTGAAAAGTTTACAGACAGACGGACGGACAGACAGACTACAGACAAAATGTGATCAGAAATGCTCACTTGAGCCTTCGGCTCAGGTGAGCTAAAAACGGTGTACATTTTTCACCAAAATTTACGACACTGTCCTCAATCGAATTTTACGTTATCTATGCTCTTCCTTTATTGTAAATATATATATGTATGTACTTCTTCCATGACTTTTTCAGAGAATAAATGAATGAATGAATGATTTCAGTGATACTTCCTATGCTCTAAAACCAATATTGTTTTTAACAATGTTGGAAGGTGAGCCCGAAGTATCTACATGACCATGATGACTAAAAGCTAGAATAATCTTGGAAACTATTTCAAAATGTTACCCCTTCTACAGTTTTGATCCAATTTCATTGAATATCATAAGCCTTTGAATTTCAGCAAGTGTGCGATTTGTTTTTAGATTCATTTCTCCTTGAACAAAATAGATTATATTAGTAAATACTAATTAACCTGATCTAGTGAAGATTCAAATCATAGTTCTTGATTATGCTAGAGACACAAATATAGGGGCTTAATTCTACACAGAAGTACATTAGGCCATGCAAAGTTAATTCCTTGGTTCTCAGGCCTTTTTTTTCAAGAAATATGACATGGAAGGAGGCTTTTTTTTTTTTTTTTTTTTTAATATTGCCCCTAAAACATGATGAGGCAGCTTTTTACAATGTACAAAACCTCAAAAAATGATGAGGGAGGTGATTTATTTTGATTTTATTGATTTAGCAATAAAAAGGGTCAATGAAGCACCCTTGGAAGAGATGAGGGAGGGCCGGAGAACCAAAAAATTAATTTTTATGGCCTTAATTAAGCAAAGACAAGACTTCAATATGTAAGCTTGACTTTGTCCCATGAACACTGAACAAGATACACATGATTACACTACTGTCCAAACCTAAAACAACAAAAGCTGATGACAAAATGATATTTTTATTGTCTTCAAACTTAACAATATCGTTAAAGTTACAAATTAAAAGTTGATGTTATTCATGATTAACAAAAAATACAATACAAATTTTTGTAACACTCCATAATTTACAAGTAACATAAAAGCTCATTAAAAATAAAATTTCGTTAACAGCAACATAACTTATGTACCTGTGTAGACATGTCAAACTGGCCACATTTTATATGGGTATTTTATTTGTCCTAATAATTTCTGATTCACCATTTTATGGATTATTAAATATTTTGATTTAGAAATATTAACTTTATCATGACTTGTGAAAGTACACACAAATTAAGTAGTTGCATAAATAGATTTAGAAAAAAAAAAATCCAGGCAAAATGTATTTGAAACGTGAATAAAGAAATCAATTTTCTTTCAAATCACAATGAACTAGAACATTGTAGAAATGATGTCTTTTTCATAACACTTATAACACTTTTGCTAATTTTCTTATTTATCGTTCAATGATCAGGACCCGGTTGTATTTGGTTAGAACTCGATCAGTTGAATTTCGCTAACAACAATCCCCCCTTCTTTCACTGCAGCACAAAGTTTATTGAAATGATTTTTTTTCTTTTTTTTTTTTATAGGCCTATTATTTCTTTCAAGGCATTAAAAAACTTGATAAAATGAGATTTTTTGTGTCAAAGTTAAAAACAACAATGATTTGGCAGAAATTTAAATTGGTTGTACATGTATTAGATAATTGGTAGGCCCTATATATGTTACACAAGAAAATGCCCATGGACACCCCCCCCCCCCCCCCCGAAGTGGTAACACATTGTATTGTGGGATATTCTCCTAATGTTTATAATTCATTAATGGATTCTTAAGTGTTTAATGATTTATTAACTGATTAATATCATTCAAACAAAAACCTTCATAGGTTTTTGTTCAACCTTTTATCCTGTTGATATAGCTCATATAATATCTTTTTCATATCCCACAGTTGTGGTGTCGCCAAGGCTCGGGATATAAAACACACAACACAGAAAAAAATCATATCCAACTACAAATCATATGAGATCCTGTAAGTACAACACACCTTAATGACTTTATTAACTAATGTATCATTAAGAACTTAATCTTTTAGTAGGCTTATTAATTCATTAATTTTAATCAACCATCCAAACATTACAGTTGACAAGTTTTTCAATATCACCAGATATTAATACTTTGGTAGAAGCAAAATTAAAACAAAAGTTAAAATCATTTAAACAACAATGATTCCATGAAAAGATAATACAATACATTGAATTTTATACAATAAAACTAAATGTTGATTCTCCAAATAGTCAGTTTGACTACATAGATGAGTCAAAATAAATAGTTTCTGCATATTGTGCTAATTTTGGTCTGAGGTCACCGGGGAATTTCCTGCGAGTCATCCCCACTGCTCTCCCCTGTACTAAAAATAAATTGAGGAGCATTAAAGTCTTCATTAATTATAAGTAATATAACAGTTCATCTTTTAAAATTGTTACCCCTCTCCTCCCTCCAATATCCTAGTTCCATAGCATGGACTATACATCCGTCTTTAATAAACCCAATCAAAACACCAAGGTCCAAGGCTCAGACTGTATACACATCTGAGTGATTCACCCATCATCCATCCCAACCCCTTCCTAATCAAAACTCCAAGGTCCAAGGCTCTGGTTACTACTAACTGTATATGCCTCTGAGTGACTCACCCTGTTGGAGGTTTGAGGGAGTTGTCTGCCATCTTCACCTTTTTAACAACTGTGGGGGATTCACTGGTTGTAACAGCTACAGATGCACTACAAAACATAGGGGAAAGATTTGTGATCATATTATAACTTGTAAATAATATAAACATTTTTATTTGAAATATTGATTCATTTATCAGGTTGCATCAAGACCAGATATTATCAGAAGAATAGACTTGGTATTCCTTAGTATTTTGCCTTTAAAATTCTACCTGTCTGTATGCAATACATGTACATACAATATCCTAAATTTCAATACCAAGATTTACATGAATCCTTAAAGTTAAGTTTTACATGTATCCAAACATTCAGGTTTAAATGTATATGGATACTTATATTTACGTCCTAAATTCTTATGCTCAGATTTACACGTTTTCTCATGTATCCTTATATCAATTCAATGCTCAGATTTATATGTATTCTGCTTTGTAAATTTAATCTTGTCAGCATACAGAGTAGCAGACAAGTAAAATGATTCATACATCAAATGAAAACACTATTTACAAATACATGTAGATTTATATACAAAACATTTAGACTGAATACTCATAAACACCATCAAGTACAATACCAAATACAGTAACACATGGT